GTGGGGTGTGTGTGAGTGGGGTGTGTATGTTGTACCCAAATGCTGAGCCCATGGTTCAGACACCCCACTTTCCACACCCGTGTGTACACCGTGACCAACACGCTCCGGTCCGCACATGCCGTGCATCACTCCAGCTCACAACTCATGCTCCGTGCGCATCCCCAGGTTGTGCCTGTTACTCCACGGGAATGTTTCCACCCGTGTACGTTGACAGCTTTACTATAAATTTCCCATCCATTTCTCCTCCTCCTCACATCCGTTAAGTATCTTCTCCAATTTATAGTTTAAAATCTTTCTGTCAGCTTCCAAAACTTCAAAACCAGGCTGGGGTGGTGGTTTATGCCTGTAATCCCTGCACTTTGGTGTGTGTGGGGGTTTAGGTGAGTGGGGTATGTTGTACCCAAATGCTGGGAGCCTGTCTGACACACCCATACACACCTGCAAAAGCACACACCGTGACCAACACGGGCCTCCGTCCGCACATGCCGGCATCACCCAGCCTGCACAACTCATGCTCCGTGCGCATCCCCAGGGTTGTGCCTGTTACTCCACGTGGAATGTTTCCACCCGTACGCTGAGACAGCTTTACCATAAATTTCCCATCCATTTCTCCTCCTCCTCAACCGCAAGTATCTTCTCCAATTTATAGTTTAAAATCTTTCTGCCAGCTTCCAAAACTTCAAACCAGGCTGGGGTGGTGGGTTTATGCCCCTGTAATCCCTGCACTTTGGGAGGCTGAGGTGAGAATCCCTTTGAGCCCAGGGGCTGAGACCGCCTGGGTGGCCATAGCAAGACCCCACCTCACCAAAAATTTAAAAACCACCTCGGCGTGGTGGTACGCCTGTAGTCCTAGCTACCTCTGGGAGGCTGAGGCACCGCAGGATTGCTCTCAGCTCCAGGTCAAGGCTGCAATGAGCTATGATTTGCCACAGTGACTCCAGCCTGGGACATGGTGGGCGAGACCCCTGTCTCAAACAAAACAAAAACCACCAAACCCATTCAGAGCTATACTAATGTTAGCAATAATTAGGTTGGTTAAGTTCTCGTGTCACCTGGGTGACAGCAGACATCTCTGCAGTGCTAAACCTTCCATGTTCTCTCTGGGGAAGGGTCCAAATTTCCCCAGGGACTTCACTGTCTCACACAGTGCTTCACTGTCTGCTGAGCCCCAGAGCCTTCTCCTCGCCAGGCCTATGAATCCGTCCTTTATTTTACAAGCTGCTTCTCGTATTTTTGTTGCTATTGAGAATGAGCTCTCCACCCACACCGTGCCTTAGGTCTGGGTAAGTCCAGCCCCGTGTGGACGCTGCCTGCATTTTTCAAGAGCTGCAGGAGCGGGCTCACGGCCAAGCCCCAGTCCACAGAGGGAAAAGCACGCCTGCCTCGAACGTTTCTGCATACACCTGAGACCTAGGACCCACCGCAGGTGGTGGATGCTCAGTGAATCGCTGTTCAATGAACACGTGACCATCTGGATGGGCCGGGGGGAGCGGCGCAGGGAAGGCGGGGAGGCTGTCGCCCTCTGTAAAACAGTAATAAACTTCACAAATATCACTCTTCAAGGTACGAAGCTCCCTTGCTTTTTTCCCCAAAAACAAAAGTTTCATTATATGTGTTAGCTAATCTCATTTTCGATATTATTAGTGAGTCCTGTAATACTTCTAAATGCTATAGAAAAAGTCAGGATTTTGCACAGGCACAGTGGCTCACGTCTGTAATCCCAGCACTTTGGAAGGCTGAGGCGGGTGGATAATTTGAGGCCAGGAGTTCAAGACTAGCCTGGCCAACATGGTGAAACCCCATCTCTACTAAAAATACACAAAAAAAGTAGCCGGACGTGGTGGCAGGCGCCTGTAGTCCCAGCTACTCAGGAGGGAGAGGCAGGAGAATCGCTTGAACCCGGGAGGCGGAGGTTGCAGTGAGCTGAGATCGTGCCACTGCACTCCAGCCTGGGCAACAGAGCGAGACTCTGTCTCAAAAAAAGAAAAGAAAGAAAGAAAAGAAAGAAAGAAAAGAAAAAGTCAGGATTTCAACTTCCAGAAACCAGAGACTAAACTGAGCAGGGTTTCCACTACACCCCCATGCGGCCAGCGCCATCCAAGACCTTGTGTTCAGGCAGAGGCCTGGTCCGGCCCCCGCCTGCCTGGGCCCGGCCCTCTCAGCCCCTCAGGCTCCCCTCCTGCTGTCTGTGGTGAAGCCTGTGTTGCCAGTGGACCTTTAGCCAGGTGACTGCAACCAGGTTAAGTTTCTCCAGGTGTCCAAGGGGACAGCTGCACGGAGTAAAAAGGCGAGTGGAAGGATGGGGGCCAGAAGGGCAAGCACAACAAAGCGGAAATTCACCGCTAGCAAAATGTCCTCAGAGTCACGAGAGCCAAGCCTGAATCAGCATTGCTCTGTCACAGCCCAAGGGTGACCTGAGAACGCCAGTCCTGGGCAGCCTTCCTCGGCTGGCAGGGACTCAAGGGCCGGAAGTGCGAGGTGGCTGTGCCGGCATGCACGGAGGGGGGCGGGGAGCGTTCTGCCCAACTGTTGACTCAGACTACCTGCTCACAGTCTGCAGAAGGCACGCCGGCGGCCTCAAGCGGGGCTGCGTCCTGCTTCCTTCTCTTGCGGGGTATGGCATGAGCAGCTTCCCACTCATCGGATATGAGGTCTACAGTAGCATCTACCAAAAACTCTGACGCAGCTCCCTGTTGAAACACGACCCCCCTTCAGACAGGGCAGGGCTGTGCACCCCACGCACAGCTCTAGCAGGCTCGCAAACACCCCACCTCAGGGGTCACCTCCTCTCAGAAAGGCCCAGGCAGGGACATCCACGTGTGGGCACTGACCAGCTCCCCAGCGCCCTCTGCATCCAGGGCCCACGGGCAGGAGGGTGTGGGGAGACCAAGCCGCAGCTCCTGCAGATGTGCAGGGCAAATCCACGTAAGAGAAGAACTGCCCACACCAGAGGTGGCACCCTGCCAGGCTCACAGCACCCTGCCAAGCTCCCAGCACCCTACCAGGCTCCTGGCGCCCCCGGGCCTCCACACGAATGCCTTGGCTTGTGCTCAGAGCACAGATGCACTGCAGAGACCGACCCAGAAGGTACAGGCAGGCCCGGGCATCCCAGGTCCAGCCAGGCCAGGCCTCCTGAACCCCTAGAGCCGGAGGCGGGCAGTCTGGCCCCGCAGCGGTCATGCTCATCCGGCACCTCCCTCCCACACCGGGCATCACCAGGAGACCTCACAGCAAGACGCCCAGCAGGAAGCTGAGGAAGGGAAGCTCCAGCAGGAGCTTCGAACCCAAATGGCCCCGCTGCAGTGGAGTGTCCTCCTCCCTCACCGCAGGAAGTACAACCCAGCAGCCAAGCCCAGCAGCCTCTGCAGAGGAAGAACCCACAAAGGGCACCCGGTTAGTCGGCAACCAGCGGCCACCAAGGGAGAGACCAAGTGGAGAACAGCTGTGCCAAGGGACGGGCACAGGCCCCTCTCTGCACCCTCTCCCTCTCCACCCACCCCATGACTGCGGGTGAAGACTGACCACCTGCCTCTGCTGCGGGGTGAGGCTGGCCACGCAGCTCGCTGGGGCCACCTCCCTTGGCTCCGGGCACCCTCCTCGCCATGGTTAGAAGGCAGCGTCTGTGCTTAGAGAACCGTTCTCTAGAACGCGTACACCGGTCTCAGCTTCAGAATTCAACAGGTTCCCCGTGGGATTGGGAAAATGCACAAAAGCCCCTGTAAGCTCGTCACCAGAGACACCCCATCGGCGTTCACCTGTGCCTTCACCCTGAACTTCTCTCATGTATGGATATGTGGATATTTAGCCTTTTTTTTTTTTTTTTTTTTGAGACAGAGTCTCACTGTCACCCAGGCTGGAGTGCAATGGCTCAATCTCGGCTCACTGCAACCTCTGCGTCCTGGGTTCAAGCAATTCCCCTGCCTCAACCTCCAGAGTAGCTGGGATTACAGGCAAGCACCAGCACACTCAGCTAATTTTTGTATTTTTAGTAGAGAGGGGGTTTCCCCATGTTGGTCAGGCTGGTCTCAAACTCCTAACCTCAAGTGATCCACGTGCCTCAGCCTCCCAAAGTGCTGGGATTACAGGTGAGAAGCCACCACCCCCGGCCCTAGTTCCCATTTTCTTCACCCCAGAAGGAAACCCCACAGCCATGACTCCCGACTCCCCACTCCTCTCAGCCAACCACTAATCTGTGTTCTGTCTCCATGGCTGAGTCTATCATGGATATTTCGCATCAATGGAATCATACATGGCCTCTTGTATCTGGCTTCTTTCATTTAGCATGTTTTTGAGGTCCATCCACACTGCAGCACACATCCATATCGTATTCTTTTTTTTTTTTTTTGAGACTGAGTCTCGCTCTGTTGACAGGCCGGAACGAAGTGGTGCGATCTCGGTTCACTGCAACCTCCACCTCCCAGGTTCAAGCGATTCTCCTGCCTCAGCCTCCTGAGTAGCTGGGACTACAGGCATGCGCCCCCAAGCCCACCTAAATTTTTTTTGTATTTTTAGTAGAGACGGGGTTTCACCATGTTGGCCAGGATGTTCTCGATCTCCTGACCTCATGATCCACCCACCTCAGCCTCCCAAAGGGCTGGGATGACAGGCATGAGCCACCGTGCCCAGCCTAGGATAATTTTATGTGTAACTTTTAGATCAACTGCCTTGCTGTTTCCTTAGTGGCTGCAGCATCTGACATTCCCACCAACACTGTACAATACTTCCAATTTCTCCACATCCTCATCAACATTTCTTACTTTCCTTCCTTCCTTCTCTCTCTCTCTCTCTCTCTCTCTCTCTCTTTGAGGCAGGATCTCACAGTCACCCAGTGAGCCACTGCGCCCGGCCTCTTTTTTTGTTCCCTTGTTCATGTTGGTTTTCTCTTGTTCAAGATTCCCTAGTAAATGTCTTCATTCTCTTCACATCTTCAGTGTCAACTCTACATTTTACAAATTCAAGCAGATTCCACTAATAAAAAATTTTAAAACATTAAAAAATAAATAAAAAATAGGCCGGGCACGGTGGCTCACACCTCTAATCCCAGCATTTTGGGAGGCTGAGGCACTCTTCTCAAAAATAAATAAATAAATAAAACAAAGAATAAAAGTAAAAATAAATAAATGATAAAGTCTCTGTTCCTTTAGCTTGTTGCCAATTAGTGGTTTGATAGTGATTTCCTTAAACACCTACAGCCAAAACATGGGGAAAAAAAAAAAACTGGCCAGGTGCGGTGGCTCACACCTGTAATCCCAGCACTTTGGGAGGCCGAGGTGGGTGGATCACAAGGTCAGGAGATCGAGACCATCCTGGCTAACATGGTGAAACCCCGTCTCTACTAAAAATACAAAAAATTAGCAGTGCGTGGTGGCGAGCGCCTGTAGTCCCAGCTACTCGGGAGGCTGAGGTAGGAGAATCGCTTGAACCCGGGAGGCGGAGCTTGCAGTGAGCTGAGATTCCGCCACTGCACTCCAGCCTGGGAGACAGAGCAAGACTCCGTCTCAAAAAAAAAAAAATACTCTCTCAGTCTTTGTAGACTGGCCCTGAGTTGGGGCACCCCTCCCACACTTAGCCTTCCTTCTGGCCTGCCCTGAGGTCTTCTCAGGTCTTTTTTGAGCACCTGTCCTGCTTGAGCATTTGTGTGGCTTTCTAGATTCCTCATTATTCATAGGAACTTTTCAAAATTTTACTCCCCTGAGTAACTCAATTCTTAGCTTTTCTCTCTCTTTAGACGGGTTTATTGTTTGCCCCAGATGGCAAACGGTTTATTCATTTGTCTTCAATGTTTTCAAGGAACACCATCCACATTGCCACTTCTCCACTCCGACGGAGTTCCAAATTAGGTATAAAAAAGGAGTTACCCAAACTTTCTGCATCCCATGTGGTCCAGGCTTGGGGGTGGCCTTGGCCACTCTGGAAGGGATTACTCTCCAAGGGAGAGACACAAGCACACACACACC